TCTCAGACTTTGTCTACACTAGGACTTTTGCGCAGTCTGTTAAGCACTAGCAGAGGCATTATTAGCTAGTCCAGCTCTACACCAATGCTTTCCCCTGTTGCAGCTGCATTGATACTAGACTAGACAAACTATGCAAAGAGTTCTTGGGTGGTCACACCCTAGAAAAGTAAAGCTAGCAAAAAACTGTTTTGCTGATGCTATTCAGAGCCCTAAGAGCAAAAGTGAAACTGTCAAGCATCAAGTAAATTTAACTCTCTTCCTAGACACTGAAACTGGGAAGTACAACCCAAAAAACAGAGGAAACGGGTATCTGTGAGAAACCCCTTGGGCAGGTGGCTTTGAGGTGCCAGGAAAATGAAAGAAAGTTGCTCCTCCTCCATTCCAGCAGCTGGGAGAGGAAGTGGCTCTCAATCCCCCAAATTACTCAGACATTGACCAGCTTGGATGATGATATGAAACACTAAGTTTTCAAGCAGAGTTCAAGGATAGCATCCTCTGCCCTTTGCAGCTGCTAGGCGTAAAAATGGGACATACCGGGCTTTTCACCACAACACTGGACTTCACAGCCAGACCTCCTTCCCCTGCATCTTTCATAGTTGGTGGTTTGAGCATTGGCCTGCTAAACCCAGGGTTGAGAGTTCAATCCTTGAGGGGGCTACACCTAAGGATCTGGAGCAAAATCAGTACTTGGTCCTGCTAGTGAAGGGTCCCTTCCAGTTCTATGAGATAGGTATATCTCTGTATATTATAGTGGCCTCTGGCTAATAGCTTTAGTTTACTGTTTAACAGGCATCTGGTAAAAGTTTTTCAGACTCTGGATTGGGTAACAACCACATGGCCAGGGTTATAAAACCAACACATTCTTATTGCCCGTATGGACAAAAAATACAACTATATTGGATTCCCTACCAAGTTTCCTTAACATGACTATGGCTATGTCTTTGTGCATTTTTACATTGATAACTAACTCATTTGTGATGAATTTGAATGAAAGATGACAAAGATTATGGTACAATGTGTGTTGACTGCACCAGATGTTTTAATAGCTAGCAGCACCAGAGTAAAATTCATGCTCAAGTTCTACTATCTAGGATCTGTTGTACTGGATAACACATCTAGAGGACACATTTAATTCTTGCATCAAAAAGGCAGCCACCACTTTCGACCAACTTATCAAGCGTATATGGGATAAAAGAAAATCAGCATTGAGCATCAAGATATGGGTGTACCAGACATTCATTTTGAGCACACCGTGGAGAGAGTTGGACCACCTACATCAGAGGTAAGAAAAGGCTCGACACCTTCCACACCCGCTCTCTTTGCTGTATTCTAAATGTAATGTGGGAAACTAAAGTTCTAACACTGAAATACTTGAGAAAGCAAAATTACCAAGTCTCAAACACAGACAACTCCTTGGCTTGATCATCTGCTCCCGATGGACACATTCCAAAGATATTCGGTATAGAGAACTTGCAGATGCTCCGCCATTGGGCCAACCTAGGTTCAGAGTCAAGGATGGTTGCAAGAGAAACTTGAATACCTTCACTGTCAACACTACAAGTTGGGAAGATTACTCCTGGAGAAAATCTGCGCTACTGTAGTGCAGCAGAAAAATGCACCCCTCTGCAGATTTTCTTTGCTTCCTTGCAGAAAATGGTTTCTATGGGGAAGCAAAGAGAAGCTGCACCAGTACTCACTCACCCCTCCTCGGCAGCTCAGACACCTCTGTTTGGGCAGCCAGGGGAAGGTAAACTCACTGGGGTAAGGAGTCTGGGGATGCCCCGGCCACCCAGGGACATTTGTCCCAGCTGGGGCGGGCGACGAGGGGGGGACACAGAGGGAAGGGGAGGACAGAGACCGAGATCCCCCTTCCCTGCATACAGCAGCCGGGAATCACACCATTTCAATTATTTTGGTAATGTATTTCAAAATAAATACTTGTCAGCAAATAATTGAAAATGGTGTGATTATATTGTTATAGTGTTTGTGTTATTTTGACAATTAAAATATGCAGAATTTTACAGAATTTTAGAATATTGTGCACAGAATTTTTAATTTTTTGGTGCAGAATTACCTCAGGAGTAGACGATGCAGATAAGCAACAGGCTACAATAGAGGGCTGTACTGCATCAGAAAGTCATATACACTGAAGATAAGATAGCTGACAGAGAGGAAAATGGAGAGATGAGAAATGTAGCAGGCTTCAAGCACTAGTAGCATACCAGCTTCTTCTTCTGGCCCCAGGTTATGCCTGCATTATCTGTGGCAAACTACTATCACTTCAGAATTGGACTTTTTAAGTGCTTGCGATGCTTACACCATTGTTTTTTAAGATGGACGGTTGCCATTCCATCACACAGCTAACTCAATGTAAAATCTTAGGGGAGACAAGACTGTAGTTCTTACCTCAGTGTAACTAGTCAAAGTCAACCCTACACACTCCCATCTGGGGTTGATCCTGCCTACCTATATCAAGGTAAAAGTACAGAGCCTTGTCTCTACCAGGATTGTATAGTGAGATAGCTAACATTCATTATCTCATTGTAAACACACACTTTCAGCAAGGAAGGCATAGCCCATAGCCTTACATTAAGGGCCTGTCTTCACCAGACTTTTGACTGACAATTAACTCAGGGTACTTAACGTTTGTGAAGGCTCGTGTGGACACATCTTCCACATGTGAACTAAGTGATCAAGTCACTCAAGGCACAAAAGTCTGGTGTAAACATACCCTAAGGGTCTCTATACAACTGAAAACACTATGGGGGGGGGGGGGGATAAGTTTACCTTGAAATTAAACTGATAAGAACAGATTTAAAATTTTATTAGAAAATGTTTACAAATAGATGATACAGAGTGTTGAAACTTCAGTTATTAGTCATTGGGGGTAACATACAGAGTATAGGGGGATGTTAGTATTTTGACGTTAGATAGCACATAACACATACAGTCTGCAATATCCCCAATGGGGGGGTACAAGGTGGATGAATCAAGGTAGAGTCAGCAAGCAGTGAGGGTACATCACTCATACAGGGGTTATAGGCAATCATAGGTATAAATAAGTGGGCCGGGTAATGAGGATAGGATGACCCTCATGTGGTGGAGTTCAGTTCGGTTCGGTGGGTTCAGGGGATAGGGTCCAACAGAGGAAGTTTTTAGGTCTCTTCCTCATTGTGGGTGCGAGGAGACACTAGTAGACAATGTTTTCACCCCTCAGCTCACAGAGAGCCATACGCTACAACAATGATAGTCAACCAGTGACTAACTCATGATCCATCTGGCTCTCTTAGCTGCAGCTCTCTTTTTGGGCTATGAAATTTTTTCAAACTATATCAGATTTTTAAGTTGCTAAAACTATAATGTTGAATATGCATAAAACCGATTATAAATGGTTACTCCTCTCTTGGCAATATCAAGATCTCTGCTACCAAACTTGATTCAAAGATCTGAATTCTCCATGGAGGTATTCCAGAATTATTTCAGAAGTCTCATGTTCAGTAAGTTAACAAACCCACAGGTTTTTATAAGGTATTTCTTGTGACCCATAGAATAATGAAAATAGTAATTAAGTAAAGATGTTCTTCTGCACATAATTTACCAGAATACCCTACAGAAGGGGTTCTCAATATTTTTCTTTCTGAGGTCCCCCCCCCCCAACATGCTCTAAAAACTCCACTGCCCTCCTGTGCGGTAACAACTGCTTTGCTGCATATAAAAGCCAGGACCTGCATTAGGGGGTAGCAAGCAGGGCAACTGCATGAGGCCCCGCAAAGCTAAGCTGTTCAGGCTTTGGCTTCAGCCCTGGGTGGCGGGGCTCAGGACAGCATGGCTTCAGCTTTCCGCCCTAGGCCCCGATGGGTCTAATGCCGGCCCTCTTGGCAGACCCCCTGAAATCTGCTTGCAGCCCCATGGGAGGCCTAGGACACCTGGTTGAGAACTACTGCTTTACAGCTCACAACTATTTAATGGAAATCCTTGTGCCTGGGCTTTGTAAGCTGAATCGTTTGAGTCATGCTTACATACCATTGTTTTTTTCTTGAATCTTTACAAATAAAAAAAATTCAGTTTCTGTATAAAAGATGTTTTAGATTCCTCTCTCTAAACAAATATCAAAATACTTACTGCATTCATTTTCAGTCCTGGTCTTTACATGAAAAGTTGCACTTGTGTAACTCAATTGATTTTAAATACCACTAGTTACACAGGTGCAAACACCTAGCATATTCCTTGTTTACAGTTACAAAAAGCTTAGCTCAGTTTAAGTTTACTTCTGGGAACGCACTACCAGAACTAGATCAATTTTGAATCAATTCCGTTTGTTTTCAAGCCCCCATGCCTATCCATTCTTTTACTTGGCCATGCCTGCTATTACTTTTAAGTCTAAGAAACAAAACCTAATGTATTACATTGAAGTTGAATAAACTTGGGCACTCCATTAGTTACTTACAGTGGGTGGATGAAGAAAAGCCAGCGAAAACATACGCCAGTTCCCAGCAATTCATTAGCATGTTGGGGTAGATTCTGGCCACCAAGAGTTAACTTGATACTCCCCCCACGCCGAAGAGTTGCAGGTACAGACGGCAAGACCACGTCCGGGATAACACCCTCAAACCCCAGGAGGAAATGCGCAGCGGTAGTAAAAAAATCACTTCTCCCTTGGCTCGGAAGCGGAATACAGAGCAACCTACCGACCATTTCTGCCCCACTCTCGGGAACTAGGCTGAGGGGGACCCCGCCAAACCCAGAGGGAAACACAGACCGAAGAGCCCCCACCCTTCCCACTGCCAGGCTGCGGGACCCGCAGCGGACACAAGTCTCCTTCCCCGCGTACGCCACGAGCCCACACGCACAAGACACTGCGGCCCCACAGGAGTCACTAGTCGAACCCTGGGCCGGGCACCGCGGCGCCCGCCAGCCCATTGCGCTACTCGAACGCAGCCCCCATGTTCCCTGCACGCCCAGCGGGGCCCGGCCTCCCCCGTGCCCTCCCCGTCGCTCACCATGTTCCTGCCGCCTCCCGCTGCCACTCCAGCCGCCCGGCCTCTCCCCGCTCCCAGCACATAAATCCGCGCGTGCCCCGCACAGGCAGCTGCCGAAGGTTGGCACGGGGGGTGGTCTCGGCGCGTAGCAAGCCAGGCACCCCGGCAGACACCGGCCCCGCACCGGCTTCTGCCCGGCTCACACCTCACAAAGGTCACGGCAGGACCCCACCGCCCAAGGACCTTTAGAGTGGCTAAGCCAATTGCCTTCACAAACAGGAGTCCGCACTCCACCCCGCACCAGATCCACTGCCTCTCTCGCCTCGCCGGGGCGGCTGACAACACGCAGGGAGACAGACAGCCGCCTGCCCGGGGCAACAACAGTAGCTCTGCCGGCTTCTTTCCGTCAGGCGCGACAGGGGCACCCTACACCGCAGAAAGCTTAAAGCGGCGGCGGGACCCCATCACGTGACACGGAAGGTCACCACCAGCGACCCCACGCCGCGAGGGACAGAATGATCTAGGGCGCCCACCTGAGTTCCCAACACCTTCTACCCCGCTATCCTCCCACCCCTGCCCGGCGGGCCCCGCGTGAGGGACGGGCTGCGGAGGAGGGGCTGGGGCAGTGAGCGCAGGTGGTTAAGGGGCCAGCCGGCCGATCGGAAGAAGAGGTGTAGGGGGCTGGGGTTGGAGCTGGGCCGCCTGCTCGGATCGTTCTCCGGGGGGAGGGTCGTGAGCGAGGCAGGGGCTGCTGAGCCTGACGCACTGAGGCCACTGGCACAAACAAACCGCGACTCGGAGAACAGGGGAGGGGATGGGGACAGGAAGGTGCCTCTTGTGCGCTTGCGCCGCCGTGACTCCCGCCGGCCTTTTCTTTGCGCAGGCGCGCTAAAAGCGGCAGACATCTTGTGAAAGCCGCTGAACCCGGAAGCGGTGTGGGTGTTGTTGGGTGAGAGAAGCGCTTGCGCGGCCCCTGTGGGGCGGGGCTCGGGTGCACTGCGCGGCGGGGACCTGAAACGTGGTGGACCCAGTGGCTCCTCTCAGCCTCTCGCTGGGGCGGAGGCTGTCGTGGCTGCAGCCCTCTGCTTGTGGCAGCCTGTGAGCCCTGCTCGGGGCGGGGGGAGGAGGAGGCAGCTGCATATTGTTTTGGGGACGCCGGGACAACCGCCCTGCACGTGCATCAGCCCCTGAGGCGCCACCTTGTACATACGCCACGCGCCCGTCCCAACCAACAGGTCTGCTCTCCACGCCAGCCCCAGAGGGACGCACAGGCCTAACCACTCCACATTTCCCTTGCACCTCTGTAGCGATCTGCTCCGCCATGCGAAAGTGCTAACCTGAAGTGATACAGCGGCATGGCCATCACCACAGCACCTAGTAATTCTGGCCCTCAGCACGATCGCCCTCACAACTGCTAGGGTCACATTCATCGTCTCCCCGGCATGTACCCACCTCTATTTGTGACCCCCGAGAATCCATGCCCCTCGTCTTGAAGTCCATCTACTCCCCACAAGCGCACGCTCCTGTGGGGATGTGTGGTCTCCTTTTCAGACACCCTGTATTAGGACAATCCCCTCGTTGGTCGTTGCAGATGATGCTTCAGAACCAGGAGTTTTTACACCTGTTTACTGGAAGAGATAGTTTTGGGAGCAGAATATTTTGTGATGGCTGGAAATTGGAGTTAGTATATAATACCTTTCCCCAACAGAACTATGAGAGCTTTAGCTTCTCACAGTCATCCAGCCAGGAAGCAGGCCTATCTCACGCAAGAGAACATGTTCCATCTGCCATCCAGTCTGGAAGCAATTGTATAGTGCACATGAGAGAATGAACTCACCAAACACCTTCCAGTCTGGAAACAACCCTACTACACAGACACAAGAGTGCATTAGGTGCCTACTACATGGTCTAGACCCCCCCTCCCACACACACAAGAAGCAAATGTGCCTACCACCACCTGGCCTGGAAATGTCACCCTGACACACATACAAGGCAGCTCACTCCTCCTTGGCCTGGAAGTAGCCCCTTCCCCATGTCCCCAATACACGGTGTTCATGGCCTCCATCCTCTGGTCTGGAAATAGCTGCACCAAGATGGCATTCAAGTTCACCACCACCACCACCCAGCCTGAAAGCTTCCCACACATACCTGCGAAAGAGAACATGTGCCTATTGTATTGTATCCTAGAGTTTCCTCATCCCACCCCTACACACACAAGAGCATACATACACTCTGCTATCTGCCCTGGAGGCAACCTATATGCACCAACCTCACTTCTATCTTAAACCAGCCCTATAAGACAGCGTGGGTTCACTTTGTTCTTGTTCACTCAGCTTAGCCCACCAAATCAATGTGTGCTTCCTTTGCTTCCATGCTGTCCCAACAGAACGTGCCTTCACGCCAACACCTGGCTCCAAGAAACCCTTCCCAGAGAGAAACCCAACCCATGTTGACAAACTGTAATTGAAATAATAAAAGGGAAATAATTACCTGTAATCCTGCTTCTTTGATACCATGATGCAGGATTCCCACTCTTGAAGCTGAGAATCAAGAATGTGAATTCTGCATGAATGGTGTCTTTAAAGAAAACATTTTCTGTTTATGTACATCTGTCTGTATAAAGACTAACGTAAATTGCCTGCAGAGAATCCCAAAAGTGGGGAACAACAGCAAAATATTTCAAAAACTCAAATTCTCACATATATTAGAAAACTTAGAGACATTCTATCAATCATCATGGAGACTCAAACAGACATTCTGAATTTTTTTTTTAAACACACACCAACCAAAAAAACCCAAACTCAACATTATGAAAAAAGATTTCATTGGAACGTCATTCAGATGTAACATTTTAAAATAATTTAATACAGAGCATTAATCAAAAAAGGGAGGAGGAAAAAGACCTCAAGTTATCTAAATACAAAAGGTATGTACCAACTGAAAAGATATGAATCTCATTCATAATATAAAATCCATTAAATTGAAAAGCAAAAAATTTGAAACTGCTAAAGTATTTTTTAACAAAATGCATAATTAATTTATGGAACTCTGCCACAAGATCTTGCTGGTAAGAGCTTATGATGATTTAAGAAAGGTTTAGGCATTGATAATTAGACCATCCATACACTGACGCCTATCTATACTGAGTGGACTGTCCTGTAAACGTTACATTAGACAGCATGAAAAATATCTTAGAGGTTGGTTTATACTCTAAAACATGAGGATTTATATTCCTTCTCAAATATTTGTCTTTCAATTAATGGTGATTAAAGAATGTAGAATAACAGGCAACACACAGACACAGAAGTCGACTATATTCAATGTAAGCACCATGTGGAAGTCGTCTTTAAGAGGGACTTAAATATGGACTGAGTAGGGACTTTGCAAGTGAGCTCAGGAAGATTATAGCATGGAGTATTAAATGACACTGGTAAAAGCACCTGTGTTCTGTCTATGCTAGTGTTTTCTCTAGAACCTGTAGAGTTGTCTCACTGGGAAATTTTCAGAATCATGCTAGGGTAGACAAGGTCTAAGTGCCTAGGATTAGGAAATAACATCCTTTAAGGTCACTAATCTTGCACTTTTTTCTGAAACATCTGGTATCAGTCACTACTGGAAACTAGATACCAAATTATATGAATCACACCTGATCCTGTATGGGAATTTCTGTGTTCCTATTATCCATTTCAAACAATAATGGGTCCTTAGTTTTGCAGAGTATGACTACATATCGGTTTTCTATGGTGGCTCAGATCCATTCTTACTTGTCAGCCTCTTTTTTTCACTTCCTTCCGTTCTGTTTCTTCCATAGTGTTAAACTTATTCCTCTAGGTCGTCATTGTCTCTTCTTTTCTGGTCTACACAGGAAAAAACAAACCTTGACTAATATGGCTAGGACACAACTGTATTCCAGTGGAGCTGTTCCAATCTAGAACTAGGCCTCCAAGGAATCTTATCATGTGCTATGATTCAATTTGGCTTAGCGAGCCTATGACATAACATGGTGTGACATTATCTGATTAAAATATGACCATATAGATCATTATTGCAACCACTTTTATATATTTGCAGCAAATTTTGTACAAGGGTTGTCAAATAAGGTGTCTGTGAAAAGGTTATGATTTGCTGGTTATGATTATGCTATCTGTATGCATGTATCATTTTTGTATTTGTAGTAATAAATATTGGCTCTATAGACGGATTTCAAATGTTGGCTCCTGGGGTACCACCTACCAGGTAGCTAGCCAGCACATATTGGAGGGACTATTCAAGTTAAATGGTTCATCAAGAAACACTTGGTTGACAACAAACCATCGGAGACACCCATCTACACTGAGTGGACTGTCCTGTAAACGTGCTGTCTGGAGTGTAGGTAATGGCTTCCTGCAGTGACTGAGGGAAATTGGCCATGAACATGTGACTTGCCCATATGACTCCAAACTCCATCTTGTTGCTGTAATTTTCCACAGTAAGAACAATGGGATGCCTTCCACATGGCAAAAGCTATAAAAGGCCCTGGAAACACCTCCATTTTGTCTTCAATCCTGCTTCTTACCTCTGGAGGAACTTTGCTATAAACTGAAGCTCTGAACAAAGGACTGAATGACCCATCCAAGCTGTGAATGTATTCCAGAGACTTGACTTAAGCCAGCAGTTTATTCCATTACTGCTACAAGCGTGAACCAAGAACTTTGCCAATACTGTATGTAATTGGTTCCTTTTAAACAATTTTAACTCTCACCTTTCTTTTTCTTTTTCTTTCTTTGTGTAAATAAACCTTTAGATTTTAGATACTAAAAGATTGGCATCAGTGTGATTTTTGGGTAAGATCAAAGTTATATATTGACCTGGGTGTGTGTGGCTGATCTTTTGGGATCAGAAGAACCTTTTATTTGATGAGACTGGTTGTAAAGAACCACTCATCTCTGAATCCAGTGTTTTTGGTGGTGATGTAAGAACTGGAATGCCCGAGGAAACTGCCTTTATGTTTTCTTGTTAGCCAGTGTGGTAAAAGGATTTTAATTTTGTGGCTGGTTTGATATATCTTATAAAAGAATAACCACCAGTTTTGGGTTGTGTTTGCCCTATTTCTCAGCAGTTCATCCTGAATGTGGCATCCTCAGTTGTGACCCACTAAGGCACTGTTACACATGGTTAGCACATAACTATTTTGTAACTGGGTATTCTGACATGTTTGCTGTGTAGGTAGAGTATCAATGGTACAGAAAGGAATGAAACTGCTTCTAGTACGAAGAATGTTGTTACACCAGTTAGCTGCCATGGAAGACAAAATCTCAGCAATATTACAATATTCTTTCTACAAGCCGTTGGCAGATTTTGGCACATTCCACTCCACTTTTTAGCTGACAAATTTTATAACCTTATTTGGAAGATCCTGTTTATGTTGCCTCCCAAATAGCATCAAAATGTCCCAGAAATTTTCTAATGGAAAATTCTAATGAAAATTTGTATGGATAACAGCTTGAGAAATCCAAAGAAGACCACAATATAAGGTTAATATATGGCAATTGAAGCCATTGGAGTAGTGATAGAGAAATATGCATTCTATGACAAACCCACCTATGCTGCTTAGAGCACATGATTGACAAAGGATGTGAGGCAAATCCAGAAAAAGTCAAGGCTATAGTTAAAATGCCACCACTAAAAATAATGTAGTTCCTTGGTATGATAAAACATTGAGGGGGGAGGGTGGAAATTGCAGGATGACATATTGGAAAGAATCTGAGAGATCCCAAGTCTTTCAAAATGCTGGGTGTGAGCCTGGATGTTGATGTAGTAGTTTAGCCTAGGATAAGACCTATCACACAATGTGAGATCATGCAAGTCTTGCAGAATA